TTTGGCCCAGGTAAGTGCTCTAGATTTTATACCTTCCCCAGGCTGGAGAGACCCTAACCCTCTAAAGTTGTGAGATCTTTCCCCTGACAAGCATAGGAAATCATGTAAGACCCGGTAGAATGAATATTCTAAAATATGATAAGCCCATTATAGGCCCGGAGTGTAAGTGAGGGTATTCAAACTATTTTTTCCCTTCCACAATCCCTCACCCTTATTAACCAAGAAGTCCCCTACTGGCCACAGGTGCCACCCAATCATTGACCATTCTAACACTAATAATGCATGCCCTTTACCAATCAATCCCCCCACTATAGATATCTTTCACAGTAGTGCTCACCTTCTTCCCTTTCCAGATCCTGATACATTTTGAGGTGCAGCCTGAGCCAGGTGCGGCCCCAATCAGACCCATGACCCGGACTGTCCTGGTACCTGAGAGGAGCATCAACCTACAGTTTTTGGACAGATAGTCCTGTGGAAAGAGGCTGTCATCATCACCCTTTCGTTCATCGTAGGAATAATATTTTTTGTAGGCACAAGACCAAGAGATACATCTGCCCCTAAGGCCTATCTGACCAAACTGGATAGAATGACCATAGTGAAGTGTGAGGCAGCCCTGACCAATGTGTGAAGTATGCACTTGGCCTGACTCAGTAGGCCAAGTGAGAAAACCATTGTCTCTCTCCGTGCTCGGCCCTTCTGATCATGTATGCATCCCCCAAGGATGAAATCAGATTTTAACTAATAATGCTGGATGGCCTGAGGAAAGATTCACCCGCCGCTGTTTTTGGGCTTTCATAGTGTTCATTGATGCTGCTGGCTAAGCATTTATCAAAGCATAAGCTCAGTAACTGTGCATCTGCTCTGTACCTGGTTGGTCCTTCCTCTTTGCATGTAAGCTCTTTGAGAGGAAGGATGAAGCCTTATTTGTTTTTTATATCCCCTGCCAGGGCCCATCTCTGACTGGGTGACACCATACACATTCTTAGATTGAATCTGAACCATGTGGTGGAAGGGATAAGCAGCTTAGTAGGCTCTGTCTACCCACTTCCTTCTTTGTCTCACCCATAGGAAGGTGAATCTGCCCTAGCCTGGTTTACAATTTCTTACAACTCTCCTTTGCTCTCTGGCCACTATTAAGTGGGTTTGCCCCATCACTTAGTTCTCAGGCAGAGACATCTTTGGGTTTGTCCCTGCCCAGACCTCTGGCTTCTTTTTTATATTGAAAAGTTTTAAATATTCATAAATTTTAGAATAAAAAGTCAAGGCCGGGCGCGGTGGCTCAAGCCTGTAATCCCAGCACTTTGGGAGGCTGAGGTGGGCGGATCACAAGGTCAGGAGATCAAGACCATCCTGGCTAACACGGTGAAACCCCATCTCTACTAAAAAATACAAAAAACTAGCTGGGCGAGGTGGCGGGCGCCTGTAGTCCCAGCTACTCCGGAGGCTGAGGCAGGAGAATGGCATAAACCCGGGAGGCGGAGCTTGCAGTGAGCTGAGATCCAGCCACTGCACTCCAGCCTGGGTGATAGAGCGAGACTCCATCTCAAAAAAAAAAAAAAAAAAAAAGAATAAAAAATCAAATATTCCATTCTTGACTTTGACTTATCTCTCTCATATTACCACTTCCTATAAGACCTGGAGGTAAGACCCTAACCCTCCCATCTCCCACCTTGGTTTCTCAGGTCCTGGGGGTGACCCCCATAACAATGGGAGGTCTGGATGCCTAGAAGAGTAGTTTGTAACACAAACCCAGACATGTTTCTGTCTGTAGTGGGAACGGCCAAGTCTAGTCTGGCTTCCTGTAAGAGATTAAGGGGTGGGGGGTGAAAAGTAACTGCAGGGGCTAAGCTGTAAAATCGGCCGGGAGCTAGGGATTTGCAGAGATTGCTGACTTTGGTAAGCAAAGTGCTTTTGGACTGCCAGGATTGAAGGAAGTCCTAGATTGGTCACTGCCCTCTCTGGAATAGTTCTTCCAAGATAATTTCCTTCAGAGGAAGGGATACAAGCAGAGAAGTGGAATCAGACCGACAGAATGAAAGCTGAGTGTGGGGGTGGCCAGAAGCCCTGGGGCAGTGGGCAGAGGGAGCCTGTTTCCCTGAGTCAGCATTCTCTGGCCCCCCAGAGGCTGGGCACAGCTCTCCTCTTGTGGTGTATACAGATTAACTCATCTTCCATCCAAATAAATCTCTCAGCACACTGCACAGTTCCTTCTGCATCCCAGATTACCCTCCCATGTCAAGACTTGCCCCACTTCCCCTACCCTCACCCTATTCCAATTAGCTGGGTGTAAATGGAGATTTCACTTCACACTTCTTCCTCCTCCACACCTTGGTCTCCTGGCCTAGACATGGCTCCCTGACCACAGAAACTCCATTTAGCCACCAGGCCTTCTGCGGGGGCATATAATTATGCAAGATCTACAGAGGGGCAGGGAGGACCCAAAGGCTCGTACAAAGATCAAGGTTTCTGTGCAATTTTCTGACCTTCTCAACTCCTTCCCTACTGTATACTCAGTCTCCACCCCATCCCTCTATCACTGAACTCAATTTGAACGTAAATGACCAAATTTTTAACAGATTTGAGCTTTGAGGGAGATAAAGCCCAGCTTGTGGTCAGACCCTTTCCCCTGGAATCAGTGATGAGAATTCTGCCCACTCGTACTCTCTATTTTCCAGTGGGCAAGTAGGAATGCCCACTTGAGGAGGGCAGTAGTTCCCATGACCCCTTTCCTGGACAATGATCTTTTTAAGTTGGAAAAAGGGAAGAAGAGGAGACCATACTGATTGCTGGCCCCAACCCCCATACCAATACTTCCATTAGTGCTGAAGGAGAGGGGAAAGTGTCCCACTTCGCCTCATTTTAGGACCCAGAGTGTAAATGGATACAGTGTGTTTGTGTGTGAATATGTCTATTTTCTTTGGTATGTCTAACCTTCCCTGCAGATCCATCACAGAGGACAGCTCAGGCTTGGCACAGGAAGCTCCACATGTGTCCTATATGCCTGAGCCCTACCTGCCAGTATAGATAATAGTAGTCACTCTGATTTGCAATCCCCCATTTGGTCCCCACCAGCTCTTCTGTGAATGGCAAAGCAGGAAAGTCTGGCCTTTCTGTCTCCCAACTTGGGGGGTATAGAGGGTTCTCTCTCTGGGGAAACAGTTTCCTACTAAGCAGACGGAGGACTCAGTCTCAGCTCCCTATCCACTCTACTCCTTCAGAAATTGGAAGTTATATACTTCCACACTTTGAAATTACTTGAACCCCAGTCCAGCTTTAGTTCCTACATCCCTAGGTTAGTCTGGATGCCAGCACCATGGACAGCGACAAAGACCCCTTTTGGGAGAGGCAAGGGGATCAAGGTTTCCTGGGCAAGTATATGCGTGGGCCTTTACAAGAGAATCATTTTCTCCAAAACATCCCCAGGGAGGAAGGAGGCAGAGCAGAACCTTCCCTGAGAGAAGGATCAATAATAAGAAAGGCCTCCAGATCTAACTTTAGCTGTGAATGAAGGAATTATTTAATTGCTGATGAATGGTTTACTTAAAAAAAACAGCATCATTCATATAATACACAACCTCAAAGTCACAGAAGAAAGTGCCCAGCCTTCAGGCTGACCCACATTTTAACCAGTCTTTCCCAAATCTTTTCTCTATAAACAACAGTCCTCTATGCTGCTGCCTCCAAACATAATGCCATCCAATAATACCACTAGCTGGGCACACCGGGATCAAACCTGTGACCCTAAACTGCCATAGAAATAGCTTAAACTGGGGTTGGAGACTCATAACTGAGGGGGGGTTCCCTCCATCTCACTCCAAATGAGTCCAAATTCACTCCACACTGCTTTTCTGGGTGAGCACAGTACTTGAGAAGGGCTAAAAGAACCCAGATGATCTCCAGAACAAGGCGGATGGCTCCAGCCTTCCCCAGCCCATAGGCCCAAATATTTAGTCAGAGGAGTTCTCATTCTTACAAATAATCACCATGCTTCACATTTGCAATGTCTATTTTCCCTCATATTTCCATACCTATTATGTCACTCAACATAAAATTCCAAGATTCTGTGCAACTTCAGATGAAAAACACATTTTAGAATTTGTTATACCAGCTACTATTTGAAATAAATGAACCATCAACTAGTCTAGAAATCTCTTTATGTCATTGCTGATTTTCTTTGCAACGACATCCAACCTGTCCCTCATTTATCCTTATTCCAACCCTATGAGGTAGACAGGAAAACCATAGCTAAGAGATTTTTTTCTAAATCATACAACTCATAGGTGGCAGGTTCAGATCTACCCCTTAGATACCTCTGAGCGCTGCCACCTAGCAGCCAACATGAATTATTCACCAGCAAGTGGGAGTCACACCTACAACTCGGAACCCACTGCTGCATTTGGGATTTGCAACCTGTGCAGAGAAACCTCCCCACACCTCCCAACCCTCCAGAAAAGCCCCAGATGAGAAAGGAGTCTCCACGTGCATATAAATGATTCTTTATGCCCTTCCCCCATGCAATGGGGGATGGAGCAGGGGGAAGTCCCCCGCCCTCATGCAGGGAACGGGAGGTCAATGTATACTAGTCTTATTGCCAGATGCCCTGTGGCCATGGGGTAGGGAATAGGGGTCTACAGCCCCTTTCTTCTGGCATTGGTCCCCCTTCACCAAGTCGCCATGGTGGAGCTGGGGGGCTGGAGGCCCTAGGAGCTGAGGTAAAGACGGTTCTCTCCAGGGAAGGAAAGCTCTTCTTCCCGCCTGCCCACCGGCCATCTCTGGATGAGTGTGAGAAGCTGCCAGTGGGTACTGAAATGTCATCCAGGTGTCTCTACCCAGTGGGCAGTGAGGCCAGACAATGTCTCCAGCTTGAGGCTGCCCACAGAGATCCTAGGTGATGGGGGCAGCATGCCCCAAACACCTTGTCGAGCTGGTACCTCCAGCAGTCATGAGAGCTCTTCTCTGACTGATGCATTGACTCAAGATCCCTGCTCCTGGAGTCCAGTTCAGACTGTAGTGACCCTCATGACAACCTCTCGGCCAGAATGGGAGCTGGAACGGGTATCTGGTGGCCGCAGCTGCCCAAGGAGGTGCAAGATTGTATAACCGCAGCGCTGAGGCAAGAGCGTCCGCATGCGCTGGGCAGCTGGGGGGCGGCTGGTGGCCCCAGAGGTGGGGCCCGTCCGTGAGGTCCTGGGGCCCGGCTTCCCTGCCGTCCCTCCCCCTGCATCTCCTCCTATGTCCTTGGTCTTGTCATAATTTAGGACCTTCCACTGCTGGTTCACTGCCTGCCAGCGCTTGAAGATGCGGTAGACAGAGGAGCCTTCATGGATGATGAGGCCTGAGCAATAGGGATAAGAAATCCAGGGTTAACTGTGGCCTAGATACTTAACTGTGGCCAGAGGTACTTAAGCAAGCATTTCTTCAGAGTGAGAAGATACAGTTGCAAAGGGCCCTGGAGAAGCAGGGAAGTGGGTTGAGGGGGCACCAGGATAGCCCTAAAGGCCCCCAGTGGCAGAAAATAAGGCCATGAAACTGAGGGGATGGGCAGGGGAGTCAGGTGTGTAAGAGGAAGATACAGAGCAGGTAAAGGAGAGAGGTGCCCTCACCTATGCAGACGACATCCATGAAGCCATACATGCCGTAGCAGATCTGAAAGAGCAGATCCTGTCGTTGCCACTTGGCTGAAGGGCTGAGTGAGGACCAGATGAGCCAGGAGATGCTGGCAACCAGGAAGAGCGAGCCCAGGACTATGGCAGCAATCTGGACCTTCTCGATGACCGTCAGGGAGATGGCCTGCCACTGTGTGGGAGAAAGGGCTCCAAAGAGTCCCAGAAAGGGATGGAGGGCCAGGTGATGGGTGGCCCTGAAAAGCAGGGTGCTCCAGTAACCTTCCCTAAAACCTTCAGGCAGGATCAACATCTGTCTTCTCTGTGCCTTCATTAAATCTAGAACGTGGCACTTGTCTGACACCATTTGTCTGTCTTATTTTAAAAAGGCAGGATTGGGCAAGTGCTCTGAAACCAAAACATCTAGATTTGAATCCCAAATCTTGACTCCATCACTTACTGGCTAAGTAACCTTGGGTAAGTTTTCAAATCTTTGTGCATCAGTATCCTCATTTGTAAGAGGGGATAATAACAGTATCTAACTAATAAGATTATTGTGAAGATTAAAAGAGTTAATACACACCAAAACTTGACACAGAAAACACTACACGTTTGCTATCATCATCGACATCATGTTTTCTTTTCTTTTTCTTTTTTTTTCCTTCGAGACGGAGTCTTGCTCTATTGCCCAGGCTGGAGTGCAGTGGCTGTTATCTCGGCTCACTGCAACCTCTGCCTCCCGGGCTCAAGGATTCTCCTGCCTCAGCCTCACGAGCAGCTGGGATTACAGGCAAGCGCCACCACGCCCCGCTAATTTTTGTATTCTTAGTAGAGACGGGGTTTCACCATGTTGGCCAGGCTGGTCTCAAACTCTTGACCTTGTGATCCGCCCGCCTCGGCCTCCCAAAGTGCTGGGATTACAGGCATGAGCCACCGCGCCCGGCATTTTTTCTGTTTTCTTTTTCTTTTCTGTGTCTGTGTGTGTGTGTCGGGTGGGGAGTGGTGGTTATTCCAGTGCCTAGAACAGTGCCTGGAATATAAGTGGCACCCTGTAAATGTTTTTGTGAATAAATTAAGGGAGGAAGGATATACAGACACACAGGCGACTGCAGTAATTGGTGGGGAAGGGTGGCTTTGGGAAAAGAGTAAATGAAATAGGCCTCCTGGAAGGTTCCTCATTCCAATAGCTAAAAAGTCCCCGCCCAGTCTCTGAGTCCTCTCCTTGCACCTCACCTGCAGTGGGTTCTTGGTGCTGATCGCCAGGACCTGGTACTTGAAGTAGCAGAGCTCACAGCTCCAGGAGCCCCTCTCGCTGATCCAGCGGATGAGGCAGGGCTGGTGCGTGCAGCGCACTGAGCCGTCGCAGCGGCAGGGGCTCAAGAGCTCCCCCTGGAGGAAGAGTGAGGAGGGACCCTGTCAGCCATCACCACCCCGACCCCACTCGGCCGCGCTCCCAGACAGGGAAACCTCTTCAGGTCACTTGCCCACGTTAAAAAACTCAGGCCTTTCACCCAAGACAGGGCAAGAGGCTAAGTAAGGCTGCAACAGAAAATAAGTTTCCCTTGGAGATCAAGGGAAACTTCCCATACCAAAGAGATGAGGGATGGAAAGGGATGGGGGGATTAGAGGGGAGAAGGACTGGATCTTCTCTTTTCCTAGAATTTGGAATGGGTGGTCTTTAAGACTTCTCAAAGGACAGGCTTCCTCTTAGGATCTGGAGGGAGGAGAGGGTTAGAGCTTCTGAGCCATGTTTTCCTTCCCCCACCCCATCACTGTAAAGTTACTTCACAGATCTGGTGCAAACTGGGATGGGTTACGGTCCTCGGTTTCCACGTATTAAAAGGGAGAAATTCCGGAGGTGGAAGTGAAGGGTGTTTCCCTTTAATCAAGGAATCAATTCTCACTACAGAGACACCCTCCTAGCACTATTCTGGGACAACTTTGCCCATAAAATTTTAACAAAGAATACTCTTTAGAATGAGATAGAAAGTTGCAGGATGTGAAGTGAAAAAAAGTACCCCATAGGGAGAAATACTGAGCTAAGCAAGGGCGCTGGCTGGGCCCCTCCCTTCTAGGTGGGCACAGAAGCACTCTTTTCTGCCCACCTGCAAGAGAACAGGTCCCCTCAGCTTACGAGACCCTGGGGCGAGGCAAATAGGAAAGAACAGCAGTCCCTGTTAATGGGTGAGATGGATTTTGTGCTCTCCGGGGAGAAAGCCCCACCACTTCCTGGGGACCCTTGACCCTCCAACACAAACAAGCGCTCCAGGAGTCCCCTGCCAGCCCCTCGGCCTCACCCCATTCCCACTCCGCCTCACCCCATTCCCACTCCGGGTCCTGGGGCCCGCCCAGCCTCCTTAGGCACCGCCTCTGCTCGCAGTCTCCGCTGACACCCCAGGTACGCGCCCCCACCCCTCCGCGCCCGGCCAGGTGCCCAGGCCTGACCTGCTCCGGGCCCTGGAAGCAGATCCGGCACTGAGGGGTTCGGAGTCCGCTGTCCAGGCTGCTGCTGAGCGACAGGGCGTCCAGTGCGCCCGGGGGCGGCAGCGGCGGCGCGGGCGGCGGCAGGGGTCCGGCCCGCGGCTCCTTGTCGCCGGCCAGGCCCCGAGCCCGCGGCTCCGACCCGTAGTACTCCTCCTCGTCGCCGTCGCCGTCCCGGGTGGAGCAGCCAGCGAAGGGCGCCCAGCCGCAGCCGCCTCCCCCGCCCCCCCGGGGCTGCGGCTCGGCCCGGGGCCGCCCCCCGCCTGTCAGAACCAGCAGCTTCAGCTCGTTCAGAAACATGCGGAGCCGAGACTTGAGCATCGTCCGGGCGCTGGGGCGGGGGGCGGCGTGCAAGGGGGGCTCGCTGGCGGCGGGGGGAGGGGAGAGGACAAGGCTGGGAAGGGGGCGCGCGCTGGAGAGCCGAGCCGGGCCGGGGTCTTCCGGGCCTGCGACCGCCGTTCACTGCTGTCACAGCCGGGACTCCGGTGCTTACGGGGCCGAGGGGGCTGGCGGCCCGGGGGCGGCGGGGTGGGCGGCCATGGCCAGGGCAGGAGGCGGGGAGGGGGGCTCAGGGTGCCGCACCCCGCGGGTCTGGGTCCGGAGCGGGCCGGGCCCCCGGGGTTACGCGCCCGGGTCCTCCTGCGGCGGGGCCGCCCCCCATCGCCGTCCTCCCGGTCCCAGTCCCCCTCCGGCTCCGGGATCAGGCTTGGCTCGGCCCGTGCGCTCGGCGGTGGCAAATGGCGGCTCCTTCCGGCGGCGGCGGCGGCGGAGACCCCCCCGGAGCGGCGGGCGGGCGGGGCGGGCGGGGCGGGCGCCGGGGAGCGGGTGAAGGATGGAGGGAGGGGCGAGGCGGGGAGGGGGAGAGCAGAAGGGGCCGCGGCTGCGCATCCCCGCCCTGCCCCGCACGAGCAGGTGTCCCCAGGGGCGGGGGCAAGTGTGAGAGCCCGAAGAGGGTGGAGGAAGGGGAGTGGCCAAGGAAGGGGAGTGTGCACACGAATAGACTAGGTGTGTGTCTGGGAGTGGGAGATGAACGGGTGAGCATGGAAGGTGAGTGGTCAAAGGACGCAGGTGTACCGGGGAGGGAGAGGCTTGTGCAAAATGGGAATGTGCAAAGAAAGAGCTGTTAAAGCGTCGGAGGTGTGAAGGAGGTACATGGGCAAGGGAGGGACTCAAGCAATATACACTTTACCCAAAGGGCTGAAAAGTGTGCTCGATGGGGACTGGGAAAGAGCGGTGTGTAAGGAATGGAGTCGCGTTGTCTGAGAAACAGAAGCCTGTGATTGTAATGTGTGAAGGAGGTGAGTGAGCAGGGGAGGTAGAAGTGCTAAAGGGATGGGAGTGTCTTTCCTGGTACTCTCCTGCCCTCACCTCCACTACATTGAAGTGAACAACGCACACACTTACCCTTTGCTCTTATGGAGCCTTCACTCTGAGAAAAAGCTCTACCCTCATCACATTTTTTTCTGCCTTACACTTACATTCTCCCTCTCCTTCCCTTTGCAAAGCTGAGGGAAAAGGGATTCCAGGGGAGCTCATTGGGTCAAACGCACTGGGAAAAAAATTAATTAGTGAAAGAGTAATTAACAGAAGAAGGGAGGGGACAGAGCCTGGGACAGACTGCCAAATTAAGGTTCTTCAATAGAAAGTGATGGAGAGACAGTAATGTTCCCATGAAGTATTCAAATGTTTTGGATGGACTAATGAATGAATCAGAAAAAGAGGCTGGGACCCAAGCAGACAGAGAAGACGGCTTCTGTTGTAAAGAGAGTAAGGTGCGAAGGGCTTATGTGGAAGGTGAGGCTGAAGTGGGGAATGCTGGTGTGGGAAGGGAGTTTGAAAAACTTAGACACTTATCTTCACCTCCAGAAGGCTTACAAAGCACCCACCCCTAGCAAGGTAGCCAATAAAACATTCACCTCTTGAGCCCCTTAGTCAGTTCAGTCCTTGAGATTTTTCTTACTAGTGTTTCAGCTGCCCTTGCCAGGAGGGGCCCAGGACTACAAGTATCAGGATGGAAAGAGGGGGCATCTGTATTAACATGTATTCCATTTTGCTCTAAATCACGGTTTATATTCATCTTCTAGTTTGAACTCTTATATTCTCAGCCAGATGGTTAAGGAAAACAAGTTAGAGTGGAAGGAGTGGCAAATAGGGTAATAAAATGGCTTTAGATTTTACACAAATTCTCACAAATGAGACACTAACCGCTTTCCTCCTTTACTCCCATACCCTCAAAGGGCTAGGACATGAAGACCTTGGAGCCAATAAAACAAAGAAAGTAGGAGAAATCTACCTACGTCTACCTCGGTGTCTGTGGGCAGAGGCCATTTGGGAAAAAGTGTGTTCTGGACACCGCTAAGTGCTAAGAAAGAGGCACTAGGGAAAAAGAGGGAAGCACAATGACTCCAAATGAGCAGTCACAAGGTTTACAGAAGGAGACATGTCATTTTCATTCATTGTGGTGGTCTGGAGGGTGCAGGGGGTGTGGTGGTAACTTTCTTGCACATGTACACTCCTGTATCCATCTTATATATTACATGTAATAAATAATATATACATACATATATACATAGAAGTATATATACACATATAAAAATATCACATAATCATAGAACCGTCCTACTGGGGAAAAAAAAAACTTAAAGGTCAAGTATTCCTGTCTCCTGCTCATTAATAACTTCTCTGCCAGATGGCCTCAGGTCTTTGCATTAACACTCCCAGGGAGATTTGGAAGTTGAGAAAAGAGGGGGCATTACCTTGTCACTGAACCTGTTGGATTACTGTATTAATCTGCCTTCTGTCCGTCCTTTAATCGTAGTTTTGCCCTCAAATGGGCATTGTTTACTCCCTATTTTAGAAGACCCCATTGTTGGCTACATCTTTCTAGATAGTCGTACCACTACTTTAAAGGGCCAGTGACAGACACCAGAAACAAAACAAAATAAAAACCCACATACACACTGGAAGCAAGCACTCAGTAAAATGTTGTAGAATTAATGAATGAATCAATGACACAAATGAGAGTATGTTTTATCATGGTGGAGCGAAAAGGTGACAGCATCACCTCTGGTACCCCAACTCCCATTCCCTCCCCAATGTAGACAGGCTGAAAGACCGGTAGTGAGACTGGAGTTCAGCCTTCAGACCGGTAGTGAGACAATCCTTCAGCCGGGAGTTGGGCTCTGGGTGGCCTAGGTTGCCATGGCACCGCCTCGGGCTCCACCCTCTCTTGTCCCCTTACCGCGCCCCCCCGCGGCGGGGGTTGTGGCAGCCAGTCATGTGCCCGCCGCGTAACCACACCTCTGCTCCTCAGAGCAATGTCAAGCGGTCACGTGTGATAGCAACAGATCACGTGGCTACCATCGCCCCTCCGCCCCCTTACACTCTTCGCCCTCCTCCCCGTCAAAGCGGCTCCTGGCCACCCCTCCGCGCATGGGTGGCAGTCACGTGCCCAGAACGTCCGGCGTTCGCCCCGCCCTCCCAGTTTCCGCGCGCCTCTTTGGCAGCTGGTCACATGGTGAGGGTGGGGGTGAGGGGGCCTCTCTAGCTTGCGGCCTGTGTCTATGGTCGGGCCCTCTGCGTCCAGCTGCCCCGGACCGAGCTTGGGTGTATGGGGCCGTAGGAACCAGCTCCGGGGCCCCGATAACGGGCCGCCCCCGCAGCACCCCGGCCTGGCGTGAGGTAAGTGCAGTCCCTTCCCGGGAATGAGAACCAGTGCCCGCCCCCCTCACAGTTTTCCACGCGTTCGTTTCTCGAGCTGGTTATGGAGGGGTCGCTCAAGGGCGGGAAGTGGGGCCTTTGTGGTCATGGGAAAGTATAATTTTAGGGACTGAGGTGTAGGATCTTTGATGCAAGGCATGTGTCATGTGTGATCTTTGTGCAGGGCGCGATTGTCCCAAAGGAAAATGCGTTTTTTATTGCAGGGCCTCACGTGGCTGGAGGGGTTGGTATTGAGTCATTGTGTTATCTCTGGGGCCGGCCCCAAGGAAGGCTGCGAGCGGGGGATGGGATGCTAGTGTTGCTCTTTGTGCTTTTTTTTGGGAGTCCTTTTGTTGCTGCAGGCTCATACCATGCTAATTCTGTAAGGGACTTTTGGTGATAGGAGTCTGTGATTGTAGGGTCGCCCTTGATCTGAGAATGGCTACCTCTCGATATGAGCCAGTGGCTGAAATTGGTGTCGGTGCCTATGGGACAGTGTACAAGGCCCGTGATCCCCACAGTGGCCACTTTGTGGCCCTCAAGAGTGTGAGAGTCCCCAATGGAGGAGGAGCTGGAGGAGGCCTTCCCATCAGCACAGTTCGGGAGGTGGCCTTACTGAGGCGACTGGAGGCTTTTGAACATCCCAATGTAGTCCGGTGAGAAGGTGGTGACGAGGGGAGTGGGGAGTAAAGGGAAAAGACAGCCTATAGGTGGGGTGTGGTGATCTGTAGAGAAGTGGGGACCCTGAGGAAATAATGAGAGGCCATGTTGGGTTAAAGGGGATTGAAAAGTGAGCATTTACTCTGGCCAGGCTGATGGACGTCTGTGCCACATCCCGAACTGACCGGGAGATCAAGGTAACCCTGGTGTTTGAGCATGTAGACCAAGACCTAAGGACGTATCTGGACAAAGCACCCCCACCAGGCTTGCCAGCCGAGACCATCAAGGTGAGTGGGGTTGGTAGGCATTGAGAGGTGGATTGGGACCTTTGTAGTAAAACCTCCTGGGATTTCAGGTATGGTGTGCCTAGTTTCCAGTGCATCTGTACCTCCCCCTTCTAAACTAGGATTTGATGCGCCAGTTTCTAAGAGGCCTAGATTTCCTTCATGCAAATTGCATCGTTCACCGAGATCTGAAGCCAGAGAACATTCTGGTGACAAGTGGTGGAACAGTCAAGCTGGCTGACTTTGGCCTGGCCAGAATCTACAGCTACCAGATGGCACTTACACCCGTGGTCAGTAGAAAGATGGTACCAAAATGGGTTCTGGTTGGGAGTAGGAGAGTGATTGCCTGTAGCAATTGAGAAGTCATGTGCTTCATGTGTTCAGTCAAGCAAGTTGTGTTTTGTGGTAACCCATGGAGTCCCCATCCATTCTTCCTATTCTCTTTAGGTTGTTACACTCTGGTACCGAGCTCCCGAAGTTCTTCTGCAGTCCACATATGCAACACCTGTGGACATGTGGAGTGTTGGCTGTATCTTTGCAGAGATGTTTCGTCGAAAGTATGGGACCCACATACCCTGGACCACCTTGAATTCCCCAAATTGCTTGTTCATAAACCACGTCCACACCCTGCCCATTCTTTCTTTTTCTCTTTTTTTTTTTTTTTTTTTTTGAGACCAGGGCTTGCTTTGTTGCTCAGGCTGGATTGCAATGGCATGATCACAGCTCACTGCAGTGTCAACCTCCTGGGCTCAAGTGATCCTCCCATCTCAGCCTCCCAAGTAGCTGACACTCCATGCCCAGCTAGTTTTTTAATATTTCTGTAGAGAGGGGGGGTCTCAGTATATTGCCCAGGCTGGTCTTGAACTCTTGTACTCAAGCAGTCCTCCCACCGCTATCTCCCAAAGTGCTGGGATTACAAGCGTGAACTACTGGACCTGGCCCCATTCTTTTACTTGCATACTACTGACTACTTTGCCCATAGCAGAAAGCTCTGAAATGCTCTAGAATTAGGAACTTCATATCCCTTTATTCTCTTTTATTTATTTATTTATTTTTGCAATAAGGTTTCACTCTGTCACCCAGGCTGGAGTGCAATGGCCCAATTACAGCTCACTGTAGCCTCTATCTCCTGGGCTCAAGCAATTCTCCCATCTCAGCCTCCTGAGTAGCAGAAACTATAGGTGCATGCCACCATGACTGGCTTTTTTTTTTTTTTTTGAGACGGAGTCTCGCCTTGTCGCCAGGCTGGAGTGCAGTGGTGCGATCTCAGCTCACTGCAACCTCCGCCTCCCAGGTTCAAGTGATTCTCCTGACTCAGCCTCCCAAGTAGCTGGGACTACAGGTGCGTGCCACCACGTCCAGCTAATTTTTGTATTTTTAGTAGAGACGGGGTTTCACCATGTTGGCCAGGATGGTCTCAATCTCTTGACCTCATGATCCACCTGCCTCAGCCTCCTAACGTGCTGGGATTACAGGCGTGAGCCACTGTGCCCAGCAATTTTTTTTTTTTTTTTTTTTTTTTTTAAGAGACAAGGTCTTGCTTGCCCAGGCTGATCTGGAACTCCTGGGCTCAAGCAGTCCTCTCACCTTAGCATCCCAAAGTGCTGGAATTATCGACCTTTATTCCCTGTGCTTTCTATTTTGGGCCACTAAGCAGTAACCATTCAACTAAGATATCTTTGAAAATGACTGCTACCTTATGTCCCTTCTCACCTTAGGCCTCTCTTCTGTGGAAACTCTGAAGCTGACCAGTTGGGCAAAATCTTTGAGTAAGTGACCAACGTGGGAGAAAAAGATTTTCTATTCTCAGTCCTCTTTCTGCTAAGCCCAGGATGGCAACTGGCTCTGCCCATGGGGATGGGAACTGGAGGACCCTCCTGACCAGAGTTCTCCTGTCCCCCACAGCCTGATTGGGCTGCCTCCAGAGGATGACTGGCCTCGAGATGTATCCCTGCCCCGTGGAGCCTTTCCCCCCAGAGGGCCCCGCCCAGTGCAGTCGGTGGTACCTGAGATGGAGGAGTCGGGAGCACAGCTGCTGCTGGTACTGGAGATGGCTGTGGGCATAGGGAGAGACTGGGGAAAGAAATAGAGCAGTGTGCAGGGCCCTGGCCACTGTGGTTAATGAAACTTGGTTGGTAGATGGGCTGTAGTTTTTATTACAGCTGCAGATGGCCACCCACAGAGAGGGATGTGGAAGAGAACCCATCCTGGCTGGGCGTGGTGGCTCACGCCTGTAATCCCAGCACTTTGGGAGGCCAAGGTGGGCAGATCACCTGAAGTCAGAAGTTGGGAGACCAGCCTGGCCAACGTGTTGAAACCTTGTCTCTACTAAAAATGCAAAAATAAGCCGGGCGTGGTGGTGCACGCCTGTAATCCCAGCTACTTGGGAGGCTGAGGCAGGAGAATCACTTGAACTCTGGAGGCAGAGGTTGCAGTGAGCTGAGATCATACCATTGCACTCCAGCCTGGGCAACAGAGCAAGACTCTGTCTCAAAAAAAAAAAAAAAGAAAGAAAAGAAGAGAGCTCATCCCAGGTATTGTCATGGGTGGGTAGAAGTCTCTCTCAGTTTTCTTCATGGTTTTCTGACCTTTGGCTCTCCCCTCAGGAAATGCTGACTTTTAACCCACACAAGCGAATCTCTGCCTTTCGAGCTCTGCAGCACTCTTATCTACATAAGGATGAAGGTAATCCGGAGTGAGCAATGGAGTGGCTGCCATGGAAGGAAGAAAAGCTGCCATTTCCCTTCTGGACACTGAGAGGGCAATCTTTGCCTTTATCTCTGAGGCTGTGGAGGCTCCTCCTCCATCTTTCTACAGAGATTACTTTGCTGCCTTAACATTTCCCTCCTACCTCTCCTTTTGAGGCTTCTCCTTCTCCTGCCCCACTATTTCTCTACACTAAGGGGTATGTTCCCACTTGTCCCTCTCCCTACCTTTATATTTGGGGTCCTTTTTTATACAGGAAAAACAAAACAAAGAAATAATGGTCTTTTTTTTTTTTTTTTTAATGTTTCTTCCTCTGTTTGGCTTTGCCATTGTGCGATTTGGAATAACCACTTGGAAGAAGGGACTTTCCTGCAAAACCTTAAAGACTGGTTAAGTTACAGGGCCTAGCAAGTCAGTGGAGCCCCTTGACTGACAAAGCTTAGAAAGGAACAGAAATTGCTTCTTTGAATATGGATTTTAGGGCGGGGCACGGTGGCTCACACCTATAATCTCAGCACTTTGGGAGGCCAACGCGGGTGGATCACCTGAGGTCAGGAGTTCGAGACCAGCCTGACTAACATGGTGAAACCCTGTCTCTACTAAAAATACAAAATTAGCCGGGCGTGGTGGCGCACACCTGTAATCCCAGCTACTTGGGAGATTGAGGCAGGAGAATCGCTTGAACGCGGGAGGCAGAGGTTGCAGTGAGCTGAGATCATGCCATTGCACTCCAGCCTGGGCAACAGAGCAAGACTCAATGTCAAAAAATATATATATATATATATAGATTTTTAAATGGCTTTTTTATATTCACTGAACTTTCTCAAACTGGGTCCTGCTTATTACAGGAAAGAGCTCTTGGTGGTTTTCTCCTTGGCTCTGTCCCTGATTTACCCTTAGAGCCACACCCCAGAGTATGTTGAGGTGATCCAGCATATGGACAGAGGAGGGGAAACAGCTAAGAATGACTCCAGCCTATCCTATGTACCCTCAGAAGCTTCCCATATCCTCTTGGAGAGAGAGGGAGAAAGTTTTTCCTTTTATTCCTTATAGTCTGGCTCCCACTAAAATATGTCAAGCCATAAAGTCTTGCTATTCCATCAATTTTAGAGGATTTGACAAGGGGCCTTTCCTTTTTCTCAAACCAAAATGGTTACAGACCCTAGATATTCCCTAAGGGAGGAAGAGAAAGCTTAGAGCAGAAAAGAAGTCAGAAGGATCCAAAGTCTCATAGAAAGGCACTGGGGTTGGCTCTAGGATCCTTCTGATTCCGAAATCTCATTGCTAGCCAAACACCAAGGATCTGTAGGAACAAAGGGAGAGAGAAGCATCAGTCAATTCTCAGTCTCAAGTTGAAAAGGATGTGCGTGAGGAAACTGGAGAATGTACCTCTGTAAAGCTAAAGAAGAGTCCAACACCCCCTAGGATTTTCAGGGCTTCATCTGAATGCTTAAGAAACTTTTCTCCACACATCTGGCATGTGGGGCTCTGGTTCTTGCAGATCTGAGGATAAAACGTGTGTGTGAAGAATGCAAAGTTGCTAATGTAAAGTTGGTAGTCACCAATACCTATGCCGAATGTCTCTAGAAACTTTCCTGTTATCTGACCAGCGTCCTACAAACTAAAATCCGACTTGGCTAATTCCCCAGCCTCTTTATCCACCCCCACCCCCCACCAATACACAGCCCCAATACAAGAGGGCTTCTAGAGAAACAATGACATTCGAACTAAATTTGCCAACTTGGGCATTGTCCTTACCCAGTTTCCTACCTCCCCTGCCTGCTGCACCACCCCCAACACACTCACTGCAGTGCAGAAATCATAATCTTGTTGGTACAGGGTTGTGAGGTTGAATAAGCCACAACAATCAAAACTTCTTTCCAGTTCATCCCGAGTCTTGTTGCTCATGACCCACCAAGAAGCATTGATGACATCTGTCTGGAGGATATGGGCAGAGAGAAATTAAGTCTCCCTACATCCCAGTATCAGTTCAAGTGCCTCAATTTCCCTAGTCCAGCAAAAGAAGTCAACCAGAAGCATAACGGTGTGCCACAATTATAGACACAATACATATCTACCTTTTCAGGTTCTCTAGATCATCCTCATGAAAAATTAACCAGACATTCCAGAGGAAGCAAATAGCCCAAGGGGCCAGAAGCAGTGCACCTAAGGATGATCTTTGGGTAGCTGGGGCCAGACTAAGGAAGGAGTTTGAGGTTAAGAGGAAAATTTTAAAAAGCAAGTAAGTACTTGAAAAGGTACTGTCTTACCTGTTTGCTTCGGTTAATAGCCAGACATGAGCAAGAGATTACAAATTGGAAGATGAAGACCAAACCAAGGATGATCATGTACTGAGAGGAAAGGTTATGGAAAAAAGTCCTAGATTCCTTTATGTTCCATCTATAACTGGTCTCATCTGTTCATAGAACTTATACCACCATGTCAAATTGAAAGCAATAAAATCAGCTCTTGTTTCGTAGATTATGGGACAGGGCAGGGCAAGGAGACATGTCCAAAATCCCTGAGGTCCCCTACCCTTTTAACATCTTCCATAGATGACAGCCCTCCCAAGAGCCCAGTTGCCCCCATCACTTCAGGTTAGGATACAAAGAACAGCAGGACTTGGTGGTGGTTGACAGCACCCACCAGTCCAGCCACTGCGATAAGGAGAAGGAAGACTCCCACAGCAATGACTCCGCCGATGATGTGGATGCTGGACACCAGACCCAGGCCCTTGCCCCAAGCAGCCACTCCAATGAGCAACAAGCTCACCAGCTACAAAGAAAGCAGGATACATCTCAAAAATTCTAGCATGAGCACGGCCCAAGGCCATTACAAGAGGACTTGGGGGCGGGGGTGGGGAAGGAATAATAGAATGGTGTGTGAATGGGAGGGAGGGGGGTGGGCGGGGCGGGGGTGGTGCTATCGCCACCAGGAGCATCCCTGGGCATTCCCAAAGGTTAGAATGGCTGGGATGGGGTATAGGGGGTGGCAGGGATAGTACTATGAATACAAAAGCTGAACCCTCAGGATCATCCTATCACTTCTACTTTGGGAGAAACTGAGGTTCAAAGGAGGGAGGGATGGAACTTATGCCCACGGCCTTAAGTTCATTCCCCCACCCCCAGACAAACCCCTTCATCAACCGGTAGTCTTCCCTCTCCCACGGAAGTCCCCAGGAATTCCCTCTTCGCCGGAAGTTCCTGGGAATCTTCCCGGAACCCCTATACACCCCTTTCCCCAACGGAAGTACCCTGGAGATTCTCCCCACGGGGCCTTTCCGCCCGAAAGCTTCCCCCACCTCCAAAACCTCACCATGTAGACCACGTTGAGAGCGCAAAGCGCATTCTTGGAGCAGGCAAAGCCGCCGCAAACCATCTCCCCAGCTCTGGGGACCCAAGTGGTCCCAAGGACTTGGGGGGAGGGTATTGGGGACCGTCTTCCAGGACCCCGACAGCTTCTGTCTCTTTAAATCGAGGCCAGCCAAACCCAATTCTCTGCGCCTGCACCGTCCCTCCCCTGCCTCTGGATTGGCGAAATGCGTGGCTAATCCTGGACGTCCAAGGCCTGCATGCCAATCAGCCCGCATTACGTCACTGACCCGCCTTCTGTCCTCCTCCTCTTGTTTTTTCATTGGGCGAAACTGAAAACTAGGGGCAGGGCTTCTAGAGATTCTCTCAGGGACAACAGTCTAAACTCCAAAAGCTTGAGTTGAAAGCTGAGCTTTCTGTGGTCGGAGTTAGGAGAGGGCTAATTCGAGGGAGACGGCTCTGGAGGAATTTAGGTGAAGGGGACACGGCGGGAGGGGCAGGTGGGGGGCCGCTCCGAGAGCTGGGCAGAAAGGGCTCCACCGGTAGAAGGAGGGCCCTTCCGCCCTCCCTTCCCCCTGTGCTGCAGTGACTTCATGATGACGCCATTGTTTTGTTAATGCGTCACGCTCGGGAACACCCAAAGGAGCCACATATTGAGCTTATTTAGCCCGGCCACAGAGTCCGCGGATTGGACACAGCAACACCCAGCAAATCATCATACGTTTGTGTGTCCGCCAGTACCCATGTCCTCTACCATATACCCTCCTAAAAGGGGTGTGAATATACCAGAAATTCAGTGTGGAAATAGCGGCCTCAGGCCAGCGCATTCCTGTGTGTGGCATTGCCACAAGTGCACACACGGGTGTGCTCAGCATTTTCAGAGTACACGCCTGATCCAGGGCTTGCAAAAAATGACAGGCAAGAGGAAGAGTCTTGGATATAAATAAATATAAGGGGAAGGAGTCTCCACCTTTTCACTTACGGGTGGACTGATCAGTAACTTTATTATCTAGTAAGTGCTTTAACAAACCGTCCTTTTCACGGGGGTAGGGAAAGGCATAATCCTTCTCTCCCCAGGAGAAAGAAACAGTAGGAACAAAAAAGAAAACCCTCTAATCAACTCAACAGAATGATTTATGTTTGTGTGTACTTAGATTCTATAGTCTACTGCCACAGTCAGATTGCCACTTGGATTGCCACTTCTAGCTGTGTAACCTTTGGCCAGGCGCTTAGAAACTGTCTGTGCCTGTTTCCTCATCTGTAAAATGGGGATAAATAACAACACACCTACCTCTTGGGTTGTGAGAATTAAATGAGTTAATATATGTAGAATACTTAGAAGAGTACCTGGCACATAGTAAACACTCAATGTTAATTATTACTTTTCAGGTCATTTTACAGGTTCCTGTGGGCAATTCCAACCTTAATTCCCTTATCTGTAACTACACGGTATTGATATAAACTTTCAGAAATTAATATCAAAAAGGTATGCAGAAGACATATTTGACAGGGCCAGAGAGGTGTTTGGGTCTTGAAACAAGGTAATGTATTATTATTATTATTATTATTATTATTATTATTATTATTTTGAGACAGAGTCTTCCTTTGTAGTCCAGGATGGAGTGCAGTGGCACGATCTCAGTTCACTGCAACCTCCACCTCCCGGGTTCACACAATTCTCCTGCCTGGCTCAGCCTCCCGAGTACCTGGAATTACAGCTGCCCACCACCACACCCAGCTTTTTTTTTGTATTTTTAGTAGAGACAGGGTTTTGCCATGTTGGCCAGGATGGTGGCAAACTCTTGACCGTAGGTGATCTGCCTGCCTGGGCCTCCCAAAGTGCTAGGATTACAGGCGTCCAGTGTAAACAAAGTAATTAAGTCAAACTACCCACTACCTCCCACCTCCCACCCCCTCACTCCCCACCTACATCCCCTTCCTACCCCAACTCCCATCTTCATTGTCTCCTTCAATTCCTCATCTACCTTCTTTTCTTTCAGGTCCTAAATCAAGGGCAAGACAATGGTATTAGAAGGGGAACTGGCTGACAAGCATTTTGGTTGTGTGGTGTAGTGAAAGGGGTATCAAAATTATAATCAATCTGGGCTTTATGTGCTTGGTAAAAAATAAAAATAAAAAACTAAAAATAAAATAAAATCAGAAGACCTAAATCCATGTCTTTGTTTCACCTCTTAATGGCTTCTCTGAGCCTTAGTTTCCTTTTATTCAGAATAGGTATAAATAATCTTACCCCTCAGGGCTGTCATGAGGATAATATATATGAAAGTAGGTTGTAAACTATTAAGTGTTATAGACATGTTAATTATTATGAAACTGATTGAACATGGAACATGGTAGTTTTTGTCTTTTTATAGGTTACTTTCCTCCTTCAGAACTCATTTTCCCCGTAATCACTTGGCCTATTTATTTATTTATTTATTTTTGACATGGAGTCTCACTAAGTCACCCAGGCTGCAGTGCAATGCACTGCAACCTCCACCTCCTGGGTTCAAGTGATTCTCCTGCCTCAGCCTCCCAAGGTGCTGGAATAACAGGCATGAGCCACCACACCTGGCCTCACTTGGCCCTTTTAAACAGGTGGTGGCCTCAGTGGGTAGCTGACTGAAAAAGGGTTACGTTGTAAGACGTAAGGATACAGAGCTCATTGAGATATGTAGAGAGGGCGATGGGTACAAGTGTACACTAGAATGCAGGGCTCTGAAGGTAACAGACCAAGTGTGCATGAATTCCTGTGAGAGTTCGAAATCTGCAAGTCATCAAGAGTTTAGGATTGCACCTGGGACCTAGCTTGCCATATTCTCCCAGAACCAACACCCATTTTAATTAACCACCTCCCACAGGAGGCCCTGGGACACTGTTAAGATCTCTCCATCCACCTGGCTGGGAAATCATAGCAGGGGCTGGCTGGCAGGGCTGATGGGCCAACACTAGAGGGGGTGGGAGGTGCAGGAGGTAGTGCTGTCCCAGGCTGTGGGTTTGAAACTCACCAGTCAGGAAGTGAGGTCTATAGACGGAAGGGCGGGCAGGGGCGGGGAGTTCTGGGCACAGCAGAAGGGGCCTTCTGAGGTTTGGGGGCTGTAGGGCCATGGGCCTCAGGACCAGAGGTGGTTGTTAGCCTGGAAAGACAGGTCTGGGCAACATGCATGCCCAGAGGCAGTTCGTTGTAGCTGCAGTGAGAGCAGAAGTCAAACGACATGAGGTGGCCAAGCAGGCTCTAAAACGCCTCAGGAAGCTGGCAGAGAGAGTGGACGACCCTGAACTTCAGGACAGCATCCAGGCCTCATTAGACAGCATTCAAGGTAAGAGAAAGGTCAGCCCTCAACTTGGGTGTATCGGGGACTAGCAGGTGCATAGAAGGGTTAGCTGTATCATATATCACTTCCCAGTCGGCTACTTCCTAGTCCCCAAGATGGAGCTGGGACTCTGGGGAAGAATACATTTAGGGAGGATGGAAAAAGACACGGGAGGTATCATTCTGTCTCTTTCCCTGCTCTGATCCTTCTCCCAGGAGATCAAAATACAGGTCCCTGTTGAGCTGACCTTCTTGGCAATGAAGAAATGTGTGAGCATGAGGAAGATAGGCTGTGACAGACTCATGGTAGACTTGGTCCCTGCCTGGGGAGTCCAGAACAGGAAGCAGTCTGGAGCAGCAGGTTCTGGGACTGGATAATGATTTCATTCCCAGGACCCACTAAGGATCAGTGACCTCTTGTTCTCCAGCTGTAGAGAGACACATGCACACACGTACACACACACGCATGCACATTGAAGTACACCATGCAGAGAATCTTAGGCTCCCAAGCGCATACTAACTCTAACACACCATGCTTTGCAGAGCCAGAGTGCAGATAGGTCCCCAGAACTCTTCTTGGTCCCCTCTCCTCCCCTTGCTCCTGTTCCTGTCTTCCCCCCACACACCTTCCGCTCTACCTCCTTAGTGCCATTAGAGCAAGTGATGACAACACAGGGAGGAAGTGCTGCCATGGCAACACCATCCGCCACATCCTCCTGCCCACCCCAGCCTTCAATCCTGTGGTGGAGCCCTGGCAGGAACAGCTTCTCTCCATCCACAAGGCCCTACCACTGACGAACTGGTGGAACTGGAGGTTGTTTCCAGCTCGCTCTCATTTCATTCACCTCTGATGTGGCAAAGAGCTAACAAAAGCAGCCTTCTTTGCTCATGAAAGTTATCTGGTGGAAGCACTTCTTCCATCATATCCTGATCTCTTTCAGCCATTTCAGTCCTCTCCATTGTTACCTGCCTACCTGGGGGGGTCAACAGATCATTCTTTCCCTCAAGGACACTTCCTGCCAGACCTCTCTGCTGGTACACCAGAGTATAACTTGGGGAAGGAACAGTTTGCTTTGGATGCCTAGTGGGACCAGCTGATGATCCCCTTCCTATTGCTCTTCGGAGGCTAGTGCCCCTCTCACCTCCTGTCCCACACCCTTTGCCAGGAACTACACCTGAAGTCTCCCCTGACAGCCTTAGTGTTTGGAAAGGCACACCAAGGGGGAGTGGCCCATGGGGCCTCCTAGGGAGGAACTCTATGCCCCACCCCTGTCAAAAATGATAATGATAATAATAATAAAGGAGAAGAGTGGTTTAGGCCAGGGAGAAAAGCTGTGCTCCCTCTGGAGAGGGAGGGAGTTGAGGAGGGGTGGAGGCTGAAATCCCTGAGAAGGCTCCACTCCTCATAAGTGATTTGTTTTACTCCTTCTCTAAGAATTAGTATTCTGTTCCCATTGAACATAAAGGAAAACTGAGGCCATCAAAGGAGGGAAGTTTAAACCAGAGCCAACAATTCTCCTTCACCATCTCCATCAAAAAACATTACTGAAGGGTCTCCTGTCCTGGGGATGGTGTCATCCTGGTTCTGTAGGGAGGGAGGGAGAAGCTGCTGAGCCCCAGGACAGAACACTGGAGGGATTGGGTACAGGCCTCTAGGAGAACAAAGGGCTCGTGGCATCCTGGCTCAGCGCTGCGGCCCCCCCCCCCGCACCCTCAGCCCCCCACCAGGCCGAGCACGCTGCGGGCTCCTGCCTCCAAGAGCCGCCCACGGCAGCACTTATTATAGTCTCAGCTGCGTCAGGAGGGTGGGATGCCAAATCAGGGGACCGCTGTGACTCCCCAAGTCCTGGGAAGGGGTCTCCAAGGCTGCAGAGAGAACTTCTTTCGCCCATCTTACCCCACCCCCAAGGGGTCTCAACCTCTTTTCCACTTTGGCTTAACCACTTCAGGATTCTCACCTGGCTGGAGGATAGACAGCCTTGAACTCCAAGACCCCTAGAGGTGTGGGGGACAAGGAGCAGACGGTTTCCATTCACTCATCTGCCTCCTCTTTAACCTTCCGTAAGAATCCCACTCAGCAAACCTCAGGAGACTGAAAGGGAACTCTGAAGAGGCTGGCTCTCTCTGCCTCAACTGAAGGGTCCTTATACTTGGGGAGTGAAATCCCCCACCTTTGAGTAACCAGGTTTGCGGGCAGTGCCTCCACTAATTCATCATCCCCCGGTTGGTCTCCCACCCACCATACACACGGATCCCTCTCTGCTTCTGCCCGCTGTTTCTGAGGCACTCTTGGAGCTACGGTTGCTATGGAGACTGGATGCATTTTGGCATGGGGGGGGTATCAGTCTAAGACACATCCTTCTCCCTCCTCCTAGAGCTGGAGCCTTTGACTTACCCTGTGGCCTGGGCTTCTCCAGCACTCAGATCTCTCCCCTCTCTCCTACCCTGCTAAGTTTGTCCCCATCCCTAGGGAACATTTTCCAAGTTCACTTTGGGACAGTCGAGCTCAAGTCTTGGCCCCATCAAAGTATTAAGTGTGGGGGTGTGAGTGGGAAAGGGAGTTGGGTCATGAGAAAGGGAAGGCGTCCAGGTACCTGGGGGAGACGAGATCCTGGGGGAAGGGATTTCAGGGCCCCCGCTTTCCCACTTCAGCTTCCCTAGAATTGACAGTGACCCTGGATTTGCTCTGTTCACCGCGGCCTGTTCACCCAATAGATCGATTTTCACCCTTATCTCTAAATGCCATACCTCGCAGTCGCGAGCTTCCTAACCTTGGTGTGCGAGAGGAGGGGGCTAGGTTGTTGGAGGAGGTGAGTCCAAGTCCCAGGAAATCCAGCCCAGGATTTGGGAGAGAAATCCAGTCCTGGATTTTGCACCGCCCTCGCAGACATCGGTGCTGGTGGAGAAAAGGTGGGGGGGAGATAGGGTGGGGGGGCCTGGGGGCCGCCTCCTCCTCAATGTGAGGGGAGCGCCCGGACACAGCGCGCATCCGGACCGAGCCGAGCCCGGGCGAGGCCCCCGGACTCTTCGCCCGGATCTCACGCCCCTCCCCTCCCAGACCCCAGACCCGTGGGTTCCCACCCACCTCCCGTTCCCTCTTTCCTCCCCCGCTGCCTCCTGTATCTCCATCCCCAGCATCCTCCCCGCGCCCCTGCGAATCCCCCGCACGGCCAGCCCCACTAGCTTCCCACCCTCCTCAAGACCCTCTCTCCGACCGCATCCGCGGCCCCTGTCCCTTGAGCCCCAATTCCCCGCCCCTGCCTCCCCCGCACTGGTTCTTTTCCCCTAGCCTCTGGTCCCCTTTTCTGCCCCCTTTTCCTCTCTCTCCCCCATTTGCCCCCACTACTGTCCTCCCCGCCCTCCCCCACCCATCTCAGCGCCCCCACCCAGGCCGGGGTGGACGGTCCGGCGCGCCTCCCTGGAGCAGCACCAAGGTCCCGGGGCTCCAAGAGGGTGGGGGCGCAGGGCGGGGAGCATGGGGAGGGGGCGCCCCATGTGATGGGAGGGGGGCGCAAGCGGAGGCGGCGGAGGCGGCGGCGACAGCGGAGCCGGGCCGGGGGCTCAGAGGGGTCCAGGGGCTGGGGGCAGCGAGCAGGGCGGCCCCATGGCCGGGCCCCCCTGAGGCAGTCCGGGGGAGTCCCCTCCCCTCCCCAGCTCGGGGGTCTCCGGGCCCCATGAGCCGGGGCGCGGGCGCGCTTCAGCGCCGGACAACGACCTACCTCATCTCGCTGACCCTGGTTAAGCTCGAGTCGGTGCCTCCGCCGCCGCCTTCTCCGTCTGCGGCCGCGGTCGGCGCCGCCGGTGCCAGAGGCTGCGAGACTGGGGATCCTGGCAGCCCCCGAGGTGCGGAGGAGCCGGGCAAGAAGCGGCACGAACGTCTCTTCCACCGGCAGGATGCGCTGTGGATCAGCACCAGCAGCGCGGGCACCGGGGGCGCGGAGCCCCCAGCCCTGTCCCCGGCTCCGGCCAGTCCGGCCCGCCCAGTCTCCCCCGCTCCCGGCCGCCGCCTCTCCCTCTGGGCCGCCCCTCCGGGACCCCCGCTCTCCGGGGGGCTGAGCCCCGACCCCAAGCCTGGGGGCGCCCCCACCTCCTCCCGGCGCCCCCTTCTCAGCAGCCCGAGCTGGGGCGGCCCGGAGCCCGAAGGCCGGGCGGGCGGCGGCGTCCCTGGCTCATCCTCTCCGCATCCTGGCACCGGCAGCCGGAGGCTCAAGGTGGCGCCTCCTCCGCCGGCTCCCAAGCCTTGCAAAACCGTGACCACGAGTGGAGCCAAAGCCGGCGGGGGCAAGGGCGCGGGTAGCCGCCTGTCATGGCCCGAAAGCGAGGGCAAGCCCAGGGTCAAGGGGTCAAAGAGCAGCGCCGGGACTGGAGTTTCTGCCTCTGCAGCTGCCACCGCCGCCGCCGCCGAGGGAGGGGGCGCTACAGCTGCGACCTCTGGTGGGGTCGGGGCTGGGGCCGGAGCCCGAGGGAAGTTGTCTCCTCGGAAAGGCAAGAGTAAGACCTTGGACAACAGTGACTTGCATCCGGGACAGCCTGCCGGTTCTCCTCCTCCGCTAACCCTCCCACCAACTCCGACTCCAGGCGCTGCTGTCACCGCCGCTTCCGCGCAGCCCCCTGGGCCTGCACCTCCAATCACTCTGGAGCCTCCAGCTCCAGGGCTGAAACGGGGCCGGGAGGGGGGCCGAGCGTCCACTCGTGATCGCAAGATGCTCAAGTTTATCAGCGGCATCTTCACCAAGAGCACAGGAGGGCCTCCTGGCTCCGGGCCCCTTCCCGGACCCCCCAGCCTGTCTTCTGGCAGCGGGTCCAGGGAGCTGCTGGGCGCCGAGCTCCGCGCTTCCCCTAGTGAGTTGAGTCAGGGCTTGAGAACACGAAGGGAAGGGTACCTGGAATGCTCAGCTTGGGGTGGAGGAGCGAGGTGCAGGAGACTAGGGAAGCTTTTCTCTGGGGTGGGCGGATGAACCAAGCTCACTCCTCTGCCAAGGATTGGGGCAAAGAATAGGAGTCCTGAAGCGGGGTGAGTAGCTACATTGTGCGACATGAGAAATGACTTGATTTCAGAGGGACTAAGAGAGCCTCAGAGCTTTCTGGGAGAATAATGCCCTTGGTCAGAGTGACTAGAAAATTGCTCCCAGAGAAGCCCAGGACCCCACTTCCAGCCTCAGCTGAACTCTGGGAGCATGGAAACGGGGATTTGCCGTATTTAGAGGGACGTTGAAGGTGAAGAGGATGAGGAAGCCTCAGTTTCCCCTGAGCACTTAGGGCAGGTGGCATGACAGTGACCTTGCAGGCAGCTTCTCGCCAGGGACCAGTCGTCCCCTGGGCTGAGAGCAGGCTAGTGATGTTTTCCGTGCGGTGAAGGCGGATTGGGCGGTACGCGAGTGTGCGGGGGCTGGAACGTGCAGAATATTTAAATGTGAAGTGAGGGGGGCGGATAGGAAGCCTCACTTCCCCCATTGCCAGCCCCCTCCCCAGAGCCGCACTGAAACCCACCCGGGGCTGACCCCGGAGTGAGTCAGTGGGAGCGGAACTGCTGCAAAGGCAATCCGTACCCTGGGAGACTTGGGAGGCGGTACGGGGAAGGTAGTGTTTTTTACGGGGGCAGGGTGTCTATTATTATTACTATTTTCTTACTGGAGGAGATAAGCAGGAGACTCTTGGTTCGGCTCACACTCCCGGGAGAGGAGGCGGGTCCGGGAGCGGAGGCGGCCCCCGGGGTTTGGCTCCAGAGCGGGTGGGAGCAGATGGCTCCGGATCCCAGAGTTCCCGCCGCAGCTGCGGCGCCCCGGGAACGTCCGGCCGGTGTCAGGCGCGGGGGCTGGACCCGGCGGGCGGAAGGAGCATCCTTTCCCCCAGGCCTGTGGCTTCTCTTGGCCAGGCGATGGAGCCCTTCACCACAGTTCTTTTGGAGGGCGTTTGTGGGGAGGGTGTGGGAGATGGAGGCATAGGAAAATCCTAGCTCTTTCCCTTGGGTTGTGGGGAGGGGTACAGGGCCACGGTGCCGTTGACCTTGAAGAAGGGGAGGGAAACCCCTCAACTCAGTTTCTGTCCTGTGGAATGGAGGTTGGGGAAGACACACTCTCTTCTATGTTTCAGCACCTCCTCTCAGGGTCTGCCCTCGGAACCAGTGGGTTAGGGAGGAGCTCCTCTTCTATTCTTTTTCCAGAGGGAAGAACCTGCCACTGTCAGAGCCCTGGTCTCCCTGTCTGGGGCCGGGACCCGCGTTTGGGGATGTGCTTTAAGGGAGATGCCAACTGAAGTATTTTTGTCTTGCTAGCTCCGTTGCTAAGCAACCACTGAGCGGCAGCAACAGCTGGGGGAGAGCGGCTGGGATGGGAGGCCTGGGGACCACCCTCAAACCTGTCTGTACCACACACCTCTCCAGTGCAGGCAGGGTTCAGGGGGTTTGGAAAGCTGCAGAGGGAGGAGGGGTGGCTCAGTGTTGGGGGTCCTCCTGAGCCAGGAGCCTCCCCTCTTACTGCCCTTCTCCCATTACAGAGGCTGTGATCAATAGCCAGGAATGGACTTTGAGCCGCTCCATTCCTGAACTGCGCCTGGTAGGTATCCCAGTCCCCTTGCCTATAGGGAAGGCTGACCTCCCACCCACTGCACTCTCAGCTCTCTCCCTTCACCTCTCCTTTTCTCTCTCTCTCTCTCTCTCTCTCTCTCTCTCTCTGAGAATAGGGAATCGTTTTCCAGTTCTTCTGAGAGTCTACCTTCATAGCACCAACCTGGGAATTTGCTACATCTTCCTCACAAGTTTTTCCTCTCTAGTCTTTATGCAGCCATCCCCTTTTTCCTGTTTGTTCATGGTCCTCCTCCAGGCTTCTCACTTCTGGCATCTGCCCTTTGGCCTTCATGTTGTGTTGCCTAGAATTGGGTAAAGTTTTCCAACTAGTGCCTAGAGCTGTGACATGCTACAAACACACACACAGACACACACACACACGTCTAGTTTGTTTTCTAAACAACCCAACACATACGAAAAAACTACTGAATTGCTGACATTCTTCAGCTTGTGCTCCACTTTGAGCTTGGGATCATTTCTTACCCACACTCATGCCCTGATCCTCCCAACTGCTCCGATCCCCCCAGCTGCTCTGATCCTCCCAAATGCTCCGATCCCTCCAGCTGCTCTGATCCTCCCAGCTGCTCCGATCCCCCCAGCTGCTCTGATCCTCCCAGCTGCTCTTTCTGGAATGACTGTCATCCAGGCGCTGTAGGGCCTACTTGGATGATTTATCTCTCTGGGTTTTCTGGAGTGTCCAGACCCACACATCCTGCCTTCTCTTACATCCCACAATTTCTGCTCCACATCCTTGCCCTCAGGGTGTGCTGGGCGACGCCAGGAGTGGGAAGTCATCACTCATCCACCGATTCCTGACCGGTTCATACCAGGTGCTGGAGAAGACAGAGAGTGAGTTCTCAAGAGCCATAATAAGCTAACGATTGGGGTTAGGGATCCAGGAGTGAGATCAATGATTAGGCAGGTATGGAGACCAGGAGGGGAAGGATGAGGCCATAATAGCAAAAGCACTGGGAGCATGGGGAGGTTTGGTGACCTGTCACCTCTGACCTATTACCCTTTCCAACTCTTCTGGACAGGTGAGCAGTACAAGAAAGAGATGTTGGTGGATGGGCAGACACATCTGGTGCTAATCCGAGAGGAAGCTGGGGCACCTGATGCCAAGGTGAGGGTGGAGGTGGTGGGGGACAGGCTGGCTGGGGTCAGCACTGGCCAAGGGAGAGGGCTCTGGTTTCCCAGGTCTCCATCTGGATTGGGTCCAGAGGAGTAGACCTGCCTGACTTTCCATTTGCTCCCTCACTCCCCGCAAGTTCTCAGGCTGGGCAGATGCTGTGATCTTCGTCTTCAGCCTGGAGGATGAGAACAGTTTCCAGGCTGTGAGCTGTCTCCATGGGCAGCTGAGTTCCCTTCGTGGGGAGGGACGAGGAGGCCTGGCCTTGGCACTAGTGGGGACACAAGGTAAGGAGGGGTTAGGAAAGCACTGCTTTCAAGGGAGGCCCTGAGGAGGCTACTGGGATATTGCCCAACATGGGTGAGAACTTGGTAAGGTGTGGAAACGGCCACTTGGATTACAGTACCCTTCTGGAGGGAGCCTGGTCTCCAAATAAGGGAGTCATGAAACCAAACAATAACTTCCCAAGGTCTGAGCAGAGAAAAGGGGATCTCCAGGGAGGAAAGGACAGCTATAGTAGCCATCTCCTTGCCTCTCATGAAATGTCACCTACCTTGTGTTCTCACATTGCCATTTCCCGGTGCCACCATCACAGGACACAGAAAATCTCAAGTCCTAGTGTGGATAGGAAACCTTTTCCATCTTCCTTTTTGCAACAGCTGGGTCAGACTGACACCTTTAAAAGGAACTTATCCAAAAACAAAGCGAAAACACAAAGGACATGATGAAAAGAAGAGAGCAGAAAACCTTTTAGTTCTCAAAGAAGTGACTCAGAGGCTCCCAGACTCTGCCAGGGCCAGGAAATGCTTTTCCAGCACTCCCTTGTGTCGAGCTGGTGGGACTTGGTCTGGATGCCTGTTCTGCTGGTGCCTGCCTCCACCTGTTGCTTGCCTCCTGGTTTCTTGCTGCAGAGTGGGCAGTCCAGCCATGACCCATGGGTACCCAACCTTTTCCTAGTTCACAAGCTGGTGTCCTCCCACCAGTTCAGGTTTCGATGGATTTGCAGGGCAGGGTGATTATTGCTCGCACCTGGGTCTCAGCTATGTAGCCCTTGTCAGGAAGCATCACTCAGTATTCTTTGAGGACACACACACACACACACACACACACACACACATACACACACACACACAGCTCACCCATCCTATTCATACACAGCTAGTTGTGTGAACTGGGCCCAGTACTCAGAAAGGGCTTATGTACTCTCATTCCACCTGGTCACAAAAAAGATGATCTCTCACACCCCATCCCCAGTGGGCCCAGCCTGAGGGCCCAGCACAGGGATAAGGGAATTGTGAAAAATCGAACAAGGCGAGGCTCCTTCTTCAATCCTGCCCCTTTCCTATCCCATCAGACAGGATCAGTGCTTCCTCCCCTCGGGTAGTGGGAGATGCTCGTGCCAGAGCTCTGTGCGCAGACATGAAACGCTGCAGCTACTATGAGACCTGTGCAACCTATGGGCTTAATGTGGATCGGGTCTTCCAGGAGGGTGAGTGTGGTGATCTCCAGTATATGTGGGAAGCCAGAGCAAGGGACCTGGCATCCAGGCCTCTCTCTGTGCGTGACAGGAAATTGGCCTTTGTGGGAAGGAGGAGAGATCGGGGAGGCCAGAGGTTTGCTTAATAGTCACAAGGTCTTTCTGGGTTGGAGGAACTGGCAAGGCCACAGGTGGCATAGAAGCCACAGTGACAAGGAAGTTGGGTCCTGTGTTGTCTACTGGGGATTTATCAAAGCTGGGCATGGAGGGGTGGTCTTGGGTATCTGGTCTGCTCACACCTCCTTCCCTCAACTCCCCTCAGTGGCCCAGAAGGTGGTGACCTTGCGCAAGCAGCAACAGCTTCTGGCTGCCTGCAAGTCCCTGCCCAGCTCCCCAAGCCACTCAGCTGCATCCACTCCGGTAGCTGGCCAGGTGAGTTGGGGTTTCAGAGTCTGCAGAGGGGCTGGTAAGATGCAGAAGGGCTGGGGATCCTAGGACAGGTGCAGAGTACCCAAGGAGGTTCAGGGAGTGGGGAAACAGATGGAAATGGCAATGAAACTATTGGAGAAAGTGCATTGGACTGGAAGTCAACCAGACTTCCAGTGATTTGAGACATCATTTGCAGTGTCCTTAAGCAACTCACCTAACCTCCCAAGGCTATCAGGAAGATTGTATGACATAATACTTGTGATTCAACCTTTGCAACATTTATAAAAAGCACTGTCACAATGTTAGTGAGGATTTTAAAAATTATTAATGACAATATAAATAAATGGTGAGGTGATCAAGGAATGTCTCAAATTCTCCGTAACTAGATATGAGTGTAGCTTGGTGGGGTAGGGGGCATCTCAGCTCTGCTGACTCTTCCATATGCTCCCAGGCTAGTAACGGGGGCCACACTAGCGACTACTCTTCTTCCCTCCCATCCTCACCGAATGTTGGTCACCGGGAGCTCCGAGCCGAGGCAGCTGCAGTGGCTGGATTGAGCACCCCAGGGTCCCTGCACCGGGCAGCCAAGCGCAGGACCAGCCTTTTTGCGGTATTGGACATGGACATGCTGACCCCCATCCTCCTGTCCCCCATGACCTGCCCATCTTCCCTAGTCCCTAGACTCCTCTGTTGGGCCCTTCTTCATCTGTCTTCCCTATCCTCACATCAGTGTATCCCTCTATCCCTCCTTAAACTGATTCCAATAACCATTCCAGAATCGTCGGGGTAGTGACTCCGAGAAACGGAGCTTGGATAGTCGGGGAGAGACAACAGGGAGTGGACGAGCCATCCCCATCAAACAGGTGAGTGGTCCAGGGGCTGGGGCAGGCTAGGGGCAGCTGGTCTTAGTTGGCTTTTTTCTCCCATGTGTCTTTTCACTTTCTCCAGAGCTTCCTACTAAAACGAAGTGGCAATTCCTTGAACAAAGAATGGAAGAAGAAATATGTAACCCTGTCCAGTAATGGCTTTCTACTCTACCACCCCAGCATTAACGTGAGTGGCAGAAACTGGGCCACACTGGCCAGCTTTGGATTTCCCTCAAGCTCTACCTGTCTGTGCCTCTGACAAAGCACTAACGTCATTTCTAGGAAGTGCTAGTCCTGTTCACTTAAGTTTAGCAGGCATGTGTTAAGAGCCTGCCATGTGCCCATGCCAGGAATGTAAGGGTAAATGCATTGCCCCAGGAACTTGCAGTCTAGTGGGAGAGCACCCAGGAAGGGAATGCTTCCTGGAGGAGACAATGCTGGATCAAGTCTGATGGGCCCATCCCCTAGATGCTCATCACAACCCATTTGGCCCCCAAGGCCCCCTCTCCAGTCCCTCTCTATTCTGTAACATATTAACCGCTTCCCAGCATACCAAGGACCCCAACCTTCCCTACACTCTCGGCCCTGTACCCCTCCAGGATTACATCCACAGTACTCACGGAAAGGAGATGGACTTGCTGCGAACAACAGTCAAAGTCCCAGGCAAGCGGCCCCCGAGGGCCATCTCTGCGTTTGGCCCCTCAGCCAGCATCAACGGACTCGTCAAGGACATGAGCGCTGTCCAGATGGGCGAAGGCCCCGGTGAGTAGGGCTTATGACATAGGAGCAGGAGAGGGGCCAGGGCTGGGGAAAAGGAGGAGTAAGAGGGAAGTGGGGGCTGGCACTGGGCAAGTAGGAAGCTGGGTGATAAAGAGGGACCATGTAAGGAGTGGGGCCAGAAGAAAGAGAGGCTCACTGAGGTTTCATCTTCTTTTTCCGACAGAAGTCACTACTCCCATGCCAAGCCCCAGCCCCAGCCCTAGTTCCCTGCAGCCACCACCAGATCAGACATCCAAGCACCTGCTGAAGCCAGACCGGAATTTGGCCCGAGCCCTCAGCACAGGTCAGTGGGGATGAAATTCCATCCGCTGTCTTCCACACCCAAATAGGGTGGGTGTGGGAAATGAATTTGGGGTGAAGGCTTGGAGGTTGGAATAAATGCATAAGTGAACACATGGAGCCCCACACATGAACACCAAGCTCAGTCATACCATGTCTATCATAATGGTTAAGACAAGTGGACTCTAACGTCAACTGCCTGAGCTTGAATCCTGGCTTGTCACATGGGCAAGTTACTTGACCTCTCCATGCCTCAGTTTCCTCATCTGTAATGTGGAAATAATAGTTTCTACCTCAGAGGGTTTCTTTGAGGTTTAAACAAACTGAGAATATTGTCTAGTACATAGTCAGCCATGTTTGACATGTTTGAAAAAAATATATATATAGTATGCAAATGACACATTGTAAACAGATGATCCTCACAACAGTTTTGTCAGGTCAAGATTATTATTCTTATTTCAGAGATAAAGAAACTGAGGCTCAGAAGATTAAGTGCTTTGCTCAAGGTCTTAAGGCCAGTAAGTAAGTGGTAGAACCAGGATCTGAGTGCAGGTCTGACTTTAAACCTCTCATCTGCCTGCCTCCCCAGGAATGATCAAAGGGGAACTCTTGGAGAGGGACAGTTGAGGAGGGGTGCCCTAAAATGCCAAAGTAGTTCAGGGAATGAGACAGGCTATCAAGAAATCAGGAAATATGTGGAGGGGGCTATTGAGGCAGCTGTGTCTTCCTCCCTAAGACTGTACCCCATCTGGAGACCTGAGCCCCCTGAGTCGAGAACCCCCTCCTTCTCCCATGGTGAAGAAACAGAGGAGGAAAAAATTGACAACACCATCTAAGACTGAAGGCTCGACTGGGCAGGCTGAAGGTGAGGCTCTGGCAGGCACTTCCACTCCCACCCAGAACCCTCATCCCCAACATCAGCTCCCCGGGCTAACTCCTGCAGCAGGAGGAAGTGCCTGAGCTGAGTGCTTGACGACCATTACTACTGCACACAACTTAGTGAAAGAGTGTGTGGACATCCCCCAGCCCCGTCCTTCTTTCCTTGTTCCCCAGCCAGTTCCTTTCCCCAGCCCCTATTCTCAATGACGTCCATGTCTATAGCTCCTGCTCCCTCTCCTAAGGATGTTCTAGTTCCTCTTCCTTCCCTCAACTCCACTTACCACCCCAGCCCCTGCACCCAGATGCCCCCCACCCATCCGCAGTGACTCAGCCCCTGATCTCTGCGTCTCCCACTGATTTCCCAAATCCTGGATTCTGTGACCACCCAGTCCCTTCTCCTGATAACTTTCTTTCTTTCTTTCTTTTTTTTTTTTTTTTTTTTTTTTTTTGAGACGGAGTCTCGCTCTGTCACCCAGGCTGGAGTACAGTGGCGTGATCTCGGCTCACTGCAAGCTCCGTCTCTGGGGTTCACGCCATTCCCCTGCCTCAGCCTTCCAAGTAGCTGGGACTACAGGTGCTCACCACCACGCCTGGCTAATTTTTTGTATTTTTTAGTAGAAATGGGGTTTCACTGTGTTAGCCAGGATGGTCTCGATCTCCTGACCTCGTGATCCGCCCGCCTCAGCCTCCCAAAGTCCTGGGATTACAGGTGGTGGGGATTATAGGCGTGAGCCACCACATGCAGTCTTCTCCGGATAACTTTCTATTGCCAAGTGCTCCCCAACAGCCCTTGACCATAGTGATCCCCATTCTTGTCCCTCAGTGATACCCCGCACCCCCACCACCACCAGCCCCAGGGCCCTCTCATCTCAGCCCTGCGCCCCAGCTTCTGCCCCCTTCCCCCGTGTTCACTCAGATCCTGACCCTCCCTTCTCCTCCCAGAGGCCCAGCTCCTGGCTGGTCTTGATAACCCATCCCTGCTGCCCCTGCTCTCTGCCGGGTGCTCAGACCCAGGTTCCAGATCTGCCTACTCTCATGGCTCTTGGCTTCTGCTCCACTCTGCTCCGGGGCCACTGACTTTAGTTCTGCTTTCTCTCCCCATCTGTCTGTCCTGCTTTGTCTCTGGCACTCTGTCACTCTCTCTCTCCATCTATCCATCTACCTCTCTTTTTCTCCTTCTTTCTTGGTCTCTCTTTCTCTGTTCTGCTCTCCATTCTATCTCTATCTCCTTCGCTTCGGGAAACCAGCCAAGCGCAAAATGTGGAAACTAAAATCCTTTGGTAGTTTAAGAAATATTTATAAAGCAGGTAACAAGTGGGGAGCCGGGAGGGGCGCTCAGCTGGGGTGCAGAAGGGTGGGGGTGCCCCCGCCTTCCCCTGCATGTGCTCGGGCTTCCTGCTGCCCCCCACCCTATGCTTCCCCTACCCCCACTGCCCCACTCCCAGGGGCTCGGGATGGACATCAGGGAGGACGGGCTTGGGGAAGGCAGCCCCTGCTTGAACTCTGTCCCTTAATGACTCCATCCCATCCCCCACTCAGAGGAAAACTTTGAGTTCCTGATCGTGTCCAGCACGGGTCAGACGTGGCACTTTGAGGCAGCCAGTTTTGAGGAGCGGGATGCCTGGGTCCAGGCCATCGAGAGTCAGATCCTAGCCAGTCTACAATGCTGTGAGAGCAGCAAGGTCAAGGTAAGAGTTTGAGGTGGGGTGGAGGACTGACCGCAGGAGCTAACCCTGGTGCTGACGGCCATTGGCAACTACACGGCCGAAGTCATGTGGGAGGAGAGCAGAGGTGTCTGAGGAGAAGGGGGTGGGGCTTGGAGGCAGAATCAGTACCAACCCAAACCCTCTCTGCAGCTGCGCACAGACAGCCAAAGCGAGGCCGTGGCCATCCAGGCGATCCGGAACGCCAAGGGGAATTCAATCTGCGTGGACTGCGGGGCCCCCAGTGAGTGCCAGGAGGCAGCGGTGGGGCTAGGGAGTGTGGTTCACTGGAGGCGGTGAATGCCGGGGTGACTGTGCTGCCCCGCTGGAAGCCGACCTCTACGCTCTGTCCGCAGACCCCACATGGGCCAGCTTGAACCTGGGCGCCCTCATTTGCATCGAGTGTTCTGGCATCCACCGCAACCTGGGCACTCACCTGTCCCGCGTCCGCTCGCTGGACTTGGACGACTGGCCACGGGAGCTGACCCTGGTGCTGACGGCTATTGGCAACGACACGGCCAACCGCGTGTGGGAAAGCGACACGCGAGGCCGTGTCAAGCCCACGCGGGATTCTTCGCGGTAAGGGTGAGGGAACAGAGCGGGGGGAGGGTTGCTGAGGGTGTGCGAGCCTGAGACGGTCCCTTGGGTAGGGGCAGAGGTCCTGGCTGGGAGTCCCTAGAGCCTTTTCAGTTGATCCCTGGTCTTGCAGGGAGGAGCGCGAGTCGTGGATTCGCGCCAAGTACGAGCAGCTGCTGTTCCTGGCGCCGCTGAGCACCACGGAGGAGCCGCTGGGCCGCCAGCTGTGGGCCGCCGTGCAGGCCCAGGACGTGGCTACCGTTCTTCTGCTTTTGGCCCATGCGCGACACGGGCCGCTCGACACCAGCGTAGAGGACCCACAACTCCGCTCCCCACTCCACCTGGCTGCCGAGCTCGCCCACGTTGTCATCACGCAACTGCTGCTGTGGGTACGTCAGCTAGGGGGAGGAAAGGGGGTCTTTGAGGCCTCATCTCGGAAAACGCCTGGCGCGGGAAAGCCCGATCTTCCCAGAGGGACCCCGGAAGTAGGCTTGGCCATGTGGGGGAGGCGGTGCCGGGTGTGGGCGCCCTGGGGACGCGCGGTCACGCGGCCGTTTCCGCCCTCCAGTACGGCGCGGACGTGGCGGCCCGTGACGCCCAGGGCCGCACGGCGCTGTTCTACGCCCGCCAGGCTGGAAGCCAGCTGTGCGCCGACATCCTTCTCCAGCATGGTTGCCCGGGTGAGGGCGGCAGCGCGGCCACCACGCCCAGCGCGGCCACCACGCCCAGCATCACAGCCACGCCGAGCCCCCACCGCCGGAGCAGCGCCGCTAGCGTGGGCCGCGCCGACGCCCCAGTTGCGCTGGTATAGTTGCCCAGTGGGAGAGACACCCCCACCCCCACGCGGGCCGGGCACGACCGGGCCGGGCACGACCACACCGGGCGGACCGCTGGACAGACGCACCCACTCACCTCTCCGATCCGCACCCAGCCCCACGGGAGCACTTCCTACCCCCACGAGGGCACAGCCCCCACGCCTCCCAGAAGACACAAACTCACCTCCCTCTCCCCAACGAGGCATGGAGACCCCAGCTCAACACGCCCCCTCTCCACTGTTTCCACACTCGGATTGCTCTGGGTCTACCCGCTCGGGTTTCGCGGAAGGGGACGTTTCCCGCGGTACGGGCTCCTAGGCGCTTGGACATGGCCGCTTGTGCCCCCTAGGGGCGGGAAGAAGACCCGGTCCTGCCCGAACTCAACAATCCCAGGGCGGGAGCCCATACCCAGGCTGGCTCCTGGGGCGACGCCACGCCAGAGGGAGGGTTTAGTACGTGGGAGGGCTAGCCCTGGGACTTGGGGCCAATATGGAGACCCTACCCCTTCCATACTCATCTCACTGCCCAGTGAAGGGGGCAAGGGCAGCGAGGGGCAGGACCCCTGCTGCTCATGGGGGTGGGGGGTTCCCAACCCTTTCCGTGAAAGGGACCGTGAGTAGTGGAAACCAGGACGTCCCCTTACACCTACCCATGGGTGGAAGCTAAAGAGTCCGGGGGAAGCCAAGAGTCTGGGTCCCTCCCACTACTATCTTGGGAGGGAGAAGGGATGTAGCAGGAGCGGGCTAAGGGGGCCTTGTAATTTATTGCTTTGTTCCCCAACATGGGGGTGGGGGCGGGCAGGGGCGTGGGGAGGGCGTTTTGGGGTAGGGGAAGCCCAGGGTGGGCAGGGGGTGGGGTGGGGTGGGGGTGCTCTCGGGTTGTGAGTGTCTGTGACCGTGACTGCGTACCTGTGACTGTGCAGCGCCCGTGGTGATCTGGGGTAGGGGGCACCCCTACAGTGGGACCCCTCCCCCATTATTCTTTCTCTCCAGCCCCTCCCTCCCACTGGAGCAGCTCCAGAGCCATTCCTCACCCCCGTGACCTCTCCCAGCCAGGGCTGAGAGGATTCGAGGTGGCTGGGAGGGTTTCCAGGCCCCCTGCCCCATCCCCACAAAGTGGGTGGTAGGGCAGACTTGCCTGGCCTAGCCCTGCCTCCCTCAGCCAACCCAGCCCTTGGGCTGTCTGTGTCAGTGGTTTCCGGTCTTTTTTTTTTTTTTTTTTCTGGCTAAAATAGTTTGCAAAGGACCAGGTAATCGGGAAGGGGAGAGAGGTGGGGGCAAGGGGGGAATGCCCCCCCATCTCCTTGGAGGCAGTGGTGTGAATCTTCTTCAACAGCAATTAAAGAGGAAGTGATTTTGTCTAGGGGGTGAGCTGCTGGTGTGTTCTTGGAGGCAGGTCAGGGCATGGCCTTGGTCAAGGTGGGGTACTGGGGTGGGACAGGGACAGGCAGAGGTGCCTCCCACTGGGGGCTGGTGGCAGGACAGTACCTATGGGCATGGAGGTAGTTCCATTATGTACAACAGATCCGGGTTCATGTAGTGGAGGACATGGCAGGTTGGAGTCAGTGGGGACCCTGGGAGCAGAGAAGGCACTGACTTTTAAGATGATGCCAGTCCTGGGAGAGTTGGGATATGGTACTTAGAGGCCATGGAGAGGGGTGAGAAGATGGGACAGCTTTGGTTAAGAGCAGGAACTTCGGAGACGGATCTGATTTTGAAACCTGCCCCTCCACTTCACAGCTAGATGACCTTGGTGGCATCTGTTTATCTGTATTCTGAACAATATCTGTTCAGAGGGCACCTGAAAGGTGCACCAGCTCTGAGGAGGGCTGCCCCAGGCCAGCCTGCTCGCTGTGAGCACTAGGTACCAGAGTAGAACATAGAGTAGGGGTTCCTCCCCTGGCCCCATCAGGGGGTGCTCCAGAGGGAAGGGGTGGGAGACCTCGGAAAGATTTCCCAGCTGGCTGCAGAGGTCCCTGGTGTCCACAAAATCAGTGTCAGCTGATGCAGGCATTTATCCACCTCCGTGCCATCAAAGGGACCACCAAGGCCACAGTGGCCTGAAGCCGGTGCTGCCTCGTGAGCTGCAGTGCCGCTAGGCTCAGCACATAGCCAATCCTACCATTTCTCGAGGGCAGCTGAAAGTGTTTACTCAGGTAGAGGGGCTGGACAGGGTAGGGTTGGGTCAGCAGCCAGTGCAGGTTGGGCATAGCCATATGTTGTTATCTACTTTGAGGAGTTAGTTGGTAGCACCAGCATCTTTGGGTAGAATTGCTTCTGACCTTTGGTGCCCACCAGCCCCAAGATGTTCAGGTGCAAGTGTGCCACTGAACTGAGGACACAGCACCAGACCTGAATGCAGTTCACATGGAGGCTGCAGCTCTGCAGGGCCTTAGTCTGTGACCACCCAGCACAGCGGCGTGACCCAGGAAAGGTGAATTCAGCAGTGCAGGTGCAGTGACAAGTACAGAGGCAGGTGTGTGGTCTGGGCAAAGCGAGGAGACGGGGAGGTCACAAAGAAAATTGGACTGGAGGACCTGGCCATTCCCCCTTCACCTCCAAGACCCTGGACTCTTATTTCAGCTCCACTCCTTCCTCGTGGTCAAAGTTTGCTCCCTTCTTCAGCAGTTTGGGAGTGTGAGAGAATATGGGGAGGAAATAAGTACCCTGGAGAGAATGAAATTGCCTGCAAAGAGCAAGTGGGAAGTTCCTTTCATTTCCAGCCAGTGAAAAATGGTCAAGGTGTCAGCAAACCTCACAACAAATCCTAACACTAAATAATCCACTTGCCTCTTCTCTTAATGGGGAGTATCTTCGGTCTTGTGGGGGAGATGTAAAAGGCGGTAGTGGATGGAATGACAAAATATCAAGTCCTCCAAGTTATGACAAAATAGGAGCCCAGAAAGGGACTCCCTGGGTGGGTGAAGGAGAGCTGCTGCCCCTTTGTGCCCATGCCCCCTTCACAGCTCGCCCTGGGCTGCCTTGCTTGGATGCCCTGCCATGCAGGATGCCCTATTGCCATCCGCCAGCCTTCCCTGCAGCCCTGCTGGCTGCCATCTGCCACACCCTGCTCCCCTCCTTTTGTTTGTCTTAGCACAGCTGAGGCAGACCGACCTTCACCATGGGAGTGCTGCCAAAGGAAAGGAAAAAGGAATTTTGATTGAAAGTACAAAATGATTGACAGAGTGAGATTTCCAAAACTCTGCTTTCTGGCGATGCTGAGACTCCATCCCCAGCAAATCAAAGCACAGTCCTCCTGCCCCAGCCCCTTCCCATTCTGAGCTGCTGATCAGCTGTGGGGACTCCTGAGACCCTTGCTTCCAAGTAACCCAGTCTTTTCAGAACTCAGGAGCTAGCTTATAATAGAAAGCTAGTGAGCACTTACTTCGGGCCAGGTTCTGTGCTAAAAGCAAGACATACACTCTATGTCATTAAATCCTCGCAACCATCTTAAAAAGCCAGTACTGTTGTCTACAATTTACCAATGAAGAAACAGCATTTAGAAAGTTAAGTGACTTGTTCAAGGCCCCGCTGGTGGGAGATGAGGGGTGTGGTCTGGGCACAGCATTCTGACTACTGCTGCCCTCAAGGCAGTGTCTAAGCTCTTGCCCAGCTAGAGCATCCCTCCCTCAGGGGGCACAGATGGACCAGGGGAAGCAGGGTTTTCTAAGTCTGCCAATTTACACTTCAAAACAACGTAAGCATAGCATGCACAGTAAGCACTAGTCCACATTCAGCAAGAGCTTCCTTCAACAGTTGAATCCTTCACTCTCCATTTACAGACATGTGGGAGTTCCCGGCCCTCTATCCTTTTTTTTTTTTTTGAGACAGTCTCACAGTGTCGCCCAGGTTGGAGTGCAGTGGCGTGATCTCAGCTCACCGCAACCTCCGCCTCCAGGGTTCAAGCGATTCTCCTGCCTCAGCCTCCCGTGTAGCTGGGATTATGGGCACCCGCCACCACACTCAGTTAATTTTTTGTATTTTTATTAGAGACAGGGTTTCACCATGTTGGCCAGGCTGGTCTCGAACACCTGGCCTCAAGTGATCCTCCCGCCTCAGCCTCCCAAAGTACTAGGACTACAGGGGTGAGCCACCGTGCCTGGCTCCTCTATCCCTTTTCTTTCCTGTGAGCCCGGGGGGAGCCTTCAGCAGAAAGGCCGTTCACCTCAGAGCAAAATTAGCAGAGCATGGTGGTGCATGCCTTTAATCCCAGTCACTGGGAGGCTGAGGCAGAACTGCTTGAACCTGGGAGGCAGAGGTTGCAGTGAGCTGAGATCGGGCCACTGCACTCCGGCCTGGGCAACAGAGCGAGACTCTTGTCTCAATAAAAGAAAGAAAAAAAAAATCAAGAGTCCTCCACACTGGGAGGAGGCATGTTGGGGGACCCATGCTTGCACTTGGTAGTGAAGAAGAAAGGGAGACACCAGGCCCACATACCCTTGGCACACTAAGAAACTGGCATGTGTGGGCAGCAGCCCTCTCTCTGGGCATGCCCAAAGGTGGAGGTCTTTTTGGGAAATGTTGAAAGGACAGGTGGGTAGGGGTGTGGGTGACAAATGGAATCTGGAGCATGCTGTGGGCGAGACCGCAGCAGAAGGAAGATCCCTGCTGTGGGGAACTCCATGGTGTGCATTTTGGCTTTCAGGGTATAAAGGGGGAAATGATAGGGAAAGACTTGGTGCAAGAGAAGGGAAGGAACAGAAACAGACAGATGAGAAAAAGAAGATGACGGTACTGCAAGTGTTTCTTTCAATCCTTGCCAGGCCAGGCTTCATTTAGCCACTCTGGTCTCTTCCTGCATACCCCAGCCCCCGTTTATAGTACCTGGGGAGTGGAGAGCAAAGAACAGGATCAGAGCATGATCTGAAAAGAACACTGAGCCTCCTCCCTGCTGGAACCCCCACCCCACAAAAAAGGTTGACAGATTGATGGTCCAGTTCTTTATTTAGAAACCTGATTGTTCAAGAACATGGTGGATGCTTCACAGCTTTTTCACTGGGATTGTGCTGGAGGTGATGGGCAGCATTCTCCCATTTCCTCAGCAACAGAGGTGAAGGCTCCTCAACTCAGAAGCACAAATTGTAGGGGACAGGGTGGGCAGGGAAAGGGAGAAGGACATCTCAAGGCAATTCAAGAGAAGGGGGTAAAGCAACTCCAAACAGCACTAAGGGCAGGTGGAGGCCTGCTTGCTCAGTGCCTGCTAAGTGTCCTGCCCTCCTTGCTCTCTCTACCCACCTCCACTCAGAAGATCCTACCGAATCTCCAGGTAGGGAGCAGGGAATATCCTATCATTAGAGTACAATAACAAGAAAAGCCACAGAGGAAGAGGAAGAGGATTGAGCGAAAGCTCAGGAGAGCAAACATCACAGGCCGGGTGAGCTCTCAAGGTGGCTGCCAGCTGGGGTGGCAGCATTCACCCAGGGCCCCCACACCCACAGAATTGCCCGAGAGGTCCACAGCTCAGCTCCACTCTGCTGTTTGGCCCTCAGGGGTCCCAGGGTGGGGAGGTGGGGAGGAGGCAGGCCAGTCCAGGAAGACTCTGGATTCTATGAAGGGTCAAGTGCAGTGTTGGTCTCAGAAGTCAAATTCGTCCAGGTCCCCTGTGCCCTCCCCACCTTGAGAGCCCCACACCCGGCGGTAATTGCTCTCCAGCTCTTTCTGCCGCTGGCGTTCCTTCTGGGCCTCTTCAGCTCCCGGCACCTGGTGGGAGAGGGTAGAGGTGGGCTGGAGCTACTCGCTGTTGAGCCCAAGGAAGTCCTGGGCCAGGCAGCTGGGGGAAGGCAGGGAATGAGGACACCCATGTCCTGAGAGGCTCTTCCTGCATGGCAGCACTCTGAATCACTGGAACCCTAGCCTTGTCTTACAGATCAGGAAACGGAAGCTCAGCAACGGCATGGCTGGGGCAGGCCCACACCTCCACTCCAGGCGGGCTGGGGACAGGAGGCCTGGGGGCCAGGACTTGGGGGTAGAAGCCTCTCACCAAGATATTGAAGAAGATCTCCTTGAGGTTTCTTGTGTCCTCATCAGTCAACCAACGTGCACCCTCTTCAGTTCCTTCAGCCCATGGGCGGACAATTTTGATCTCAATTTTCCCTGGAAAGGAGCAGTATGCAGTGAGAGGAGAGGATGGCTGGGAGCCTCAGGGCAGGCCCCCTGCCCCACTGGTCCCAGCCCCTCCACTTCCGGCAGCTTGCCCTTCCGACAGTGCTGGGTCCAGCCGCCCTCCAGGGCCCACCTGCAGCTGTGAGTCCCTCCCTCTCCAGCAGCTCCTTCACCAGCCCCTCGATTTGTTTCAGCTGTGGGTTTTCCCGTTTCATCTCGAGGACAGTCAGATCCTGATTAGGGCCTCCGAGACGGAGCTTGGTGACCCGGACCCGGACTCTGTGCTCAGGATCCTCCTCTTAGAGGGGGAGACACACAGGGAAACACAAAGCAGAGGCATGACTCCAGGGTTAGGGGTGGCAGCTTTGGCAGCTATTCCATCTCAACATGTGTATGAGCCAGGGCTCAAAAAAATGTGTGCCCCCACTCCCAATTCAGCCTATAGAGCTCCCTCCACCAATTGCTGCCTTCCGTCTTCCCACCCTACCCAATAATTCTGCCCATCACCTATAGGAAAACAAATGTTTTCTGAAGCCAAAAGCAGGCCACCTGCACCAACAAAGTTTTGTCTGAAGAAGCAGGTTGGAAAAGTGTGGTCTCCTCCTCCATATGTTAGGACTTTAAAGACATTTCAATGTTTATAGGGAGAATGGGATGGAGGGTTTGAAACTGGAACATTTCATTTGGAACATCTGATGTCCACACCCATAGGACCCTATGAAATGGACACAAGGGGATGCAAGAAGAAGACATAATTTAAAGTCTATCCAGGCTATTGGCTCATGTGCGGCTGGGCTCTCCTATTCATGCCCTGACAGCTGGGGACTCTCTTGGTGCAAAGTCCTAAATGTTGACAGGTTGCATCCTTCATAGATGTGTGGTTTTCACATATAGACTCGCAAGCATTCAATTACTACCTACTGATCATCCATTGTGTGCCAGGCAGAGTGCTAGGTACTGGGTGTACAGGAGCAAACCAGAAAACAGGCAGACATGCTCTAAAAGCTGCTTCCCAGAGGGATGAATAGGAGGTAAGCACGCAAAGGGATGATGGTGATGGGAAGCAGGTGCAAGTGAGGACAGTGTTCCAGAAACCGGGGAGAGAATAAGCACCCTCAGAAGGGAAGGAACAGGGTCCCCTCTGGGAATAGGACCAGCTGAGGGATGAAAACAACGGACTGGGCTACTCCTTCTTGTCTGACTGCTCTCACCTGTAGGTTGGGGTGATGGAGGAGGTTTTTTGGGGACAACCCTCTTTTTCTTGTGCTTCTTCACCAGCTCTGGACTCTGTTTTTCCTCCAGTCTTTTGATGAGTTTGTTGAGAGTGGATGTCAGAGCCAGCATTGCCCGATCCCGCTCTGACTCCTTCTTCAGTCCATCTGGGTCCAGCTCCTTCTCGGTCTGGAATACCCAAGAGAAGAGAGTGAGTCAAGGGTCTGGGGCGTGGAGGCAGCCAGCGGGCTGGGCTGTGTAGGAGAGTCTGATATTTTGAAATGGAGTTTTGCTCATCACCCAGGCTGGAGTACAGTGGTGCCATCTCGGCTCACTGCAACCTCCGCCTCCCGGGTTCAAGAGATTCTCTTGCCTCAGCCTTCCAAGGAGCTGGGATTACAGGTGCCCATTGCCATGCCTGGCTAAGTTTTTTGCATTTTTAGTAGAGAGGGTTCACCATGTTG